GTTTCCTGTCCCACTTTGGTTGGAGGGACTGTCAGAGTGAATATGGAGTTTTGGGATGGGACTATAGCCCTAACCAACACTCACTGATGACCCAGACCACACAAATTCCTTAGGAAATGAGGAGAGAGGAGTACAGTGGGGTCTCCCAAATCATCTTGGTGGACTTCCTGGAAGCAACTTCTGTTAAATGTTGCCAGCTGGGTAACAAAGCATGAAGCTTATACTTAATTCATAAACCAAGGTAGAGAATAATAATGAAGGCCTATTCTGAGACATTTAGAGTCAATTAGGAATAACTGACTGAAGTGTAAATGTCTTCAGTTTTCTTCAAACTAGCTGAGAGACAGGATCTGATATGACTCCAAAGTGTCTCCTATACATTGAGTGCCTACCAGTGTTGTGGCCTTGACCTGGACTTGGTCTAAGCCATTTGACATTGATTTTCTTTCATGTTATCTGCATTTCTTGAACCTGAACTTTACTTCATTACATCACCTCAATCAGCCTGTGCTCCTGAGACATTTGTATTCTGCTATAAACTAGTGAAGACATATAATGCTCCAGCCAAATTCCTGAAACTCCCCTGTATCACCTTCCTGCTCTTTCCACAGATAGCTCCTTTAAGAGAGTTGTTTTAGTAACTTTTTTTTTCTTAGTTATAGAGCTTGTTTTTCTCTTTAGATCTAGACTAAGTAACAATTTTCAGTAGATTGGCTCTGAACAACAAACTTTTCCTTTTGGTCTTAACTGAAAAGATATCTGACTAACTGTCTCTAGCTAATAACACTCAAATTTATAGCTCTATCCCTGCCCTTTCTGCCAGTCTCCAGATTTATGTATACAGTTGCTTTCTGAACACCATCACTTGAGATTTTAGCAGATATCACAATTTCTACTGAACTCATAGTTTTCCCTACACACCTATTTTAATAGCAACTTTCCTCATCTGAATCAATACTAACCTTATCATTCTAGTTATTCAATCCAAAAACACTCGTGTGATCCTTGACTCTCTGATAGCCCACCTCCAATTCCCCAATGTCACTAAAAACGTGTTCAGAATCCAACCACATCTTACCAACACCTCTGCTATCACCAAGCCACTTCTATATCCTACTTAGATTATTACGCTAGGCCCCTTTATGGCCTTTCTCCAAATGTAGTCTATTCTTCATAAGCAGTCAAAGTGATTTCTCTTTGATGTGAGACTATGTCATTCTTCTGTTCAAACTTTATCATGGATCCCGTTTCACTTTGGATAAACTCTCAAGATTTTAGAAGCTTAGGATTTATAAGTTCCTAGACATAAATTTGTAATAGTTGCCTTGCTTAGTGCTATTTGATGCTTTGTAGAGTTTAGGTGTGAAACTAAATTACAGTTATGGTGGCAAGCACTGTACTGCCTTAAGTCCAAGCCAGTCCCAATCACTGTAATGACCTTGGTATGCACAGTTTTCCCCTGCAAATTTGAACTCTGTTGAAAATATTTGTCCAGTTGAATAATGAACATTATCCTTGATCTATCCATAGGAAAAATGGACTGCTATGTGACTAAAAATGTAAACAGGAAAGAGCTTAACTAAATTGTAGTCTGGAGCCATAGGTAAAGAACAACTGAAGAGTTTGTGCCTATAATGAAAATGATGGACTAATTCTACTACATCAAATGTGAATCAATTTTACTATCCTTTGAGGAAATAAAGCAGCTGACAGATTTTAATCATCATAATAATAAATGCTTAAAGAAAGTGAGATGGGGGAATCCAGTCCAAGATGTTTTAGCAAGGCTGCCCCTACATTCAAGTAAGCTGAAATCCACTCCTTTCTCAGCTGCATTAGGAAATCAACAGGCAACAAAAAGGAAAGCAGCATGTGAGTCTCTGAACAAAATGTTATAAAGCTACTTGAGTAAAAGCAGAAGCACACATCTGGTCCTGTAACTTCCTGAATGAAACACTTGAGTTTAGGGGTGAGAGGGAGAACAGAGTAGTCCAGATGTAATTCACCAAGGCAGAAAATTAGATTAACATGGTCAAATTGAAATGGAGAAAGTAAAATATAAAATCCAAGCTAAAAATAGACAAGAATCTTAAGATAATAGTGAGGCAGGAAAATATTGAAAATCAAGAAATGTTGAGAAGCAAATGCAGTGGGAGAATTGTTTACACTGATTCTGTAGGAAAATTAGCTCAGGATGGCCAACTGCAAGCAGTGACTGAATTGTTGGAATTTTCGTTCCACTCTATTAAGAAGTCATTGACATTCTGCTACCTGCAAGTGTTCTTTCATCCCATCTGAGAATAGTAAGAATCCACTGAAGACCCAGGGGGTGGGACCCAGAAAAACAACTGGCCCAAAGGAATGCATTGTGTTTGAGAAAGAATGTAGAAACAGAAAAGATCAGAAGACTGGACACACAAGAAAAAAAAAAAAAAACTGTTCTAGCTTTCAAAAGGAATGAAGGTTGGGGTCCATTCATAAAACATAGGTTATGTTTGACCACGGCACTTGACAAAACAAAAATGTTTAGAATACGATTTGTACTTGGAAATGTATGTATGTGGTCCATTCGGAATTCACTAGGAGCAAGTCAGATGCTGCCTGACTTACTTCCCCTGATAAAAGAATATAATTGCTTTTAAAAATCCAAATTCTTCAGTAGAGGATTTAGCAAAATGGAAAGTACTACAGCTAGATCAAAATGTTCCCTGAAACCACCTCTCTGCACATAATCCTTTAGTGTAAAGCTAATGGTAATATTATATCTACTGCATACGGATGTTGTATTGTAAGAATAAATACATGAGAACACAAAGAACAATACCAGAAGCCTAGTAATAAAGCCACTCAAAATAAAAGTAGTGCAATAACGAGCAATTTTCCACATTAAAATGTTTAAGCAACTATCTGCAAGATCATCTTTCAAGAATACTGCAGCACAGATTGGCTGAGAGCTTGACTCAAAGGTTCACCTGGACTATAGGACCCTGCATTGTTGAAGTTTGCTAGCTGGTGCGGAAATAGTAGGATGGAGGAGATCACCAAAGAAATGAGCAAAATCGTTTATGTATGAAAGGGAAAGGTAGTCAATCAAGGAGTCTGCGTGAGCCCGGCAATGGAGAGCCTGTCAGGTGTTCTGATCACCTAACTATGATTGGGTCCTGGTATAAAAACCTCCTAGATTAAAAAAGAAATAGGCTGAGTTTATAGTTGTAATCTGAAGAAGAAGGGGATATTATAAATGTTAATGACTTCCTCCCAATACTCACAGATACTGTTTTCATGATTGCATACACTTTGTATCAGGCTCTTGAAGGCTACATTTACAAGTAGGAATTGTGAAACCCATTTTGGAATTAAAAAGACGAGCTTCCTAATGCTCCCATGACTGGCCCAGATTCCTGTAACTGATAGATAGTGGGGCTGGATTTTGATCCCAAGCTATCTAAGAGATTTCTTCTCTCTGTGGAGTTATAGGTTCAGTCATCAGCTAACTTTATTTCAGTCTAGTAAGTCTTCATAATCATGGCCCACATGAGCAAAGCTAAAATGTTCTGCTTTGATTATGTCAGTTTAAATTTTTAAGCCATTTTAGGGACCACTTTTCCTGAAACATAACTCCATACTACTTAGGATGTTGCCTAGATATAATTCTTATTTTTCAAATGACTCAGTGTAATCATCTTGAACATTATTTACTGACTAGGCCATAATGTGACAGTGTCTTCAAAGCTTTCCACTGAATGAGTCCAAATAACTTTATTGCTATTAACTCTACTGTCTCTGCACATTCTGAGCTCATTGTTACTTCTTAGAGTATCGACTTCTTAGCAGCACTGCCCACCAAATATCCCCTCCCTGTTTCTGATCTACTGTCTGCTAAGATCTAAATGGAAGTTTCTATTCACAGGTTCAAACCTGAGCATAAGTCTTCACTTGGCTACAGCAAAGTGCACAGACTTTGAGATCCATATTTCTCTCACTGATGAACTTTTTATCTACTTCCAACTGACTCACTAATGGTAACATTTCAAACAACTACCGTTGGCGTTCTGCAAGCAAAGAGAAATAAAGGGTCACATCCACTAAGGGTCAGCAAAATGGCTACCCCCTGGCCAGCCTAAACAAGTAGCTTTTATTGAGATAAAGAACAAAAAAACTCAAATTGCACATGCTTAGATTATATAACTTGTTTGCTTCTTGTCCTTACAGGACCTCATGTTTTTACCTTGGGGTAGGGGCAATATTTCAAGGCCTGCACTTTTTCACACAACATTGTTGACCGGACGTGTCTGGGACAAAATAGTCAGTGTGGCCTCTCTACAATCTATAGCAAAATCTCCTTAATCCTCTTAATACCCTGAAGTAGAAGATAACTTTACATCAAAGAAGGATGGGTGGTTTGTGCAGCTTCTTTTCATGAAATTATTTGAGCCATGCTTCTGACAGGAGCAAGAACAGATACTAGGAATACAAAGCATAGTAAACTTAAAAGCTGACGCGGTCAAGAATTATTTACATTTAACACAACTGATTTTTACCACATGTTTATTACACACAGTGAAGTTACAACTGCTTTACAAAAACTAAACAGCAAATTTTTTTTGCCTAAAGGAATCAGACTATATGGATCAATGTTCTGGCTCCACCACTTATTAGAAAATTGAGGTCAGGCAATTTATTTAAGCTCAGTGTCATAACACATAAAATGGTAATAAAAATTTGCTTATCATTTTGTTGTGATGCTTAAAGAAAATTTCACAACACAAAACACTTTAAACAGTTATCTTTTTTCCCATTCTATAGTAATGTGTAGAACTTCAGAGTAAAGTAGTGGAAAAAATTTTTAAGGCTTGGTTATTGTCATTTCATTTGAACCTGGAAGACTTGTTTTTCTGGGTGAAGAAATGTTTTCTCTGTATGGAGGTTTCGTAATCACAATCAAGCAGGCCTATAAGCCTTGCCATTTAAAGTGGCTCCTCTCTTTTATCTGTGACATGCCTACACCCTGGGAATAAGGACTGAGTCAGCTGCTGAGATTCAAAAGAATGACTACTGAGGTCTCCTTGCAGTCTGTGTTGCCATGATCCCTTGGCTATGGATGACCAGAACTTGACATCGATACTCTTTGGATTTCATACGTGTGGAGACATTCCTACTTTGTGATCCTGACTGAATTTTGAACAGGTAAGTGAAAGGGAAGGAGGAATACAGTGAAGTCAGCCATAGAAGTAGTGTTTAATGTGGTCATCTGACAGATAGAAAATAAACCTTTTAAAATTTTCCAAGGCCGTGTCAGGAGAGTTAATCTGTGTAGTGGAGAGTAGTCTTACAACTTTTAAAAATAGCCATGGTAATTAAAATTGGTCAGAAAAAGTAAATTCTATAAAGACAAAGTCAAAAATCATACTTTAAAAAAGAGTGATAATGGTCAGAATTACCGCATGTTCAAACTTTCTTTGCATTAAGAAATAATTCTTATTTATGCTCAAAGTATAATTATAATCCATATGAGACTACCCACATTCATTTGTCTCTTTTTCTCAGTGACTTGAAGCAGATAAAGTTAGAACTGAGAAAAATTTCAGATGACCTTTATAAGTACATTGATGTCTTTAGAGGATTTACTCAGACCTATAAGCAAGGCTGGAAAGATGTAATGTTAATTGTGAATCAAACAGTAACTTCTAGTGAGAGACAAGCAGCTTACAAGCTGCTATTGCATTTGGGGATGAAAATCATATTCTTAATTTTAGACATCCAGAAGATCAGCAGTCAGGGGAACAACCAGTTCCCGCTGGTGCCCAAGCAATCCCTAGACCCATGCTGGTCTAACAGCCAGACAGGAGACTGGAGCAGAAGAAATTTTAAAGTGTGTTTTCAAAGGCCTGAGAAGGACAAAAACCAAGCCCTTTAGTTATTTTAAATTGTCAGCTATGTACCAGGAGAAAGATGACAACCGTTTTGTCTTCTTAGATCATTTACTAGAGGTACTAGTAAAACATATGTCCATAAGCTCCTGATTCAACAGAAGAACAGATTTTGCTTAAAGACATGTTTATTATTCTTTCAGCACCAGATATTAGAAAAAAGCTACAAAATATAACTTTTGCTCCAGTAGTTCACTGGATACTTTAGTAAAAACTGCTTCCTTACTGTTCTATGATTCGGACTGGAAGAAAGTCCAGGAGAGAAAACAGACCAAAAAGTTACTGCCTTTGTTGCAGCCTTAAAAAAACAGATACAAAGTGTGATTCTCAGAGCTCCAAGAAGAGCTTAATGACTAAATTCAACTGCTACTACTGTGGAAAGCTAGGTCACCTTAAGAGGGACTGCCTTTAGAGGCCCCCAAAGCCATGCCCTGACTGCAAAGCCTGCCACTGGGAAGGAGACTGCACTCTGAGACAGAGGCCCCAGAGCTCAGATTCATCTTCCTAGGTGGTCTAGTAAGACTAAAGGGCTCTAGGGCACTCTGTCTCCTCCCTCTGGCAAGGCTATAATCTCTACCTGTCATCTCTAAGGAGAAGCCCTCAGTAATCATAACTATAGAGGACAAAACCATCCTATGCTGGTCATTGGCACAGGTTTCTTTGACCTTCTCCAACTCTGGCCTTCCTTTCAGACATCATACCTCAATAAAAACGCTAACCAGAAAAGAATATCTCCTTTTAGTTATGCCTAAAAGCCTAGCTCTCATCCTGGAGAGATTTTATACTGTCTAAATACTGTAATGTAGATATTCAGGTTGCCAACTAGTTAAAATGATGCTGAGATTAGTTTTTACATATATAATACATATTGTTGTTCATGTACAAAAACAGAGAGTTTTTTATTGGTCAAAATAACCTGTTAATTGTTATAATCTGTTTCTCATGGCTCATCAAAACTTTAGAGATAATTATAACTAAAACTAGAAGGACTTATGACAAACTGTCAGACTCCATCAGTAAAGGAATCTCAGAGCCGGTGAGTTATAATCACTATCCCTTAGAAACAGTTTCTAAACTTACCTGTCAGCTCTGATGATCATGCTTTGATTATACATGCTCTAATTTCTCAGAAAATTTGTCCTTGCCTAGAGGATGCCAAACCCCAAGTGATCATACAGATAAACCTTATAACAAATATTCTATATTCCTTTTAGATTTATTTTACTAGGATCTACCAGATCTTGTACAGAGAGAGGGTTATATGACACACATTGAGGCCTTAACTAACTATACTCAGTGGGCCTTAAATGGCCTCTCTCTCCTAAATAAAAAAAGTAAAATTAATGAGAAAAGCTATCCTCAAAAATCAGATGGTATTAGGCATTCTAACAGCAGCACAGTAGATACTTGTGCAACTGTAAAAACTAGATGTTATGCGTATATTCCGGATCCACCTGATATTATCTCAACAGCTGTTCAAGATACTAGATGACAAATCGGTGACATGTTAGACTTTGAAATTCCCTGGACCTTATACTTCCTGTTTAAGGGAAGCCATTACTAACTTCTCTTGGTGGAAATCTTCATTGACTGTATTCATAATTATCCTGTGGCTCCTATTATTTGGCCCATGCATACTTAATTGTTTCTTTGACTTTGTTTCCTCCAGACTTAAGGTTATATACCTACCCAAGACAAAAATGCCTGCTATTGAGGGCCTTTGCATAGATCCTCTGTGGAGTATTTCTGACTGCTTATCAACAATTATGACCCCTTTCAGCCTGAAGAAGCCAGATCAGTCATTACCTATTACTCCCTCACAGCAGTTTGGGATACTTCTGCAGAGGAGAAAATGTTATAGACAGCTAAGTTAGATAAAAATATTATAGGCAATTAGATAGGGCTTGGCCCTCAAAGAGGCCAGTGCAGAAGACAAGATACCTTGTACCTGTGGGAGAGAGAGTCACCTCCACTGTGGGCCATATCTCGTTACAAAAGATAAATGTATCACATACTTACTAAGGATGAATACTAGAGATTGATATTCTAAATAGGTATCAGTCACTTTGAGGAAGCCAAGAAGAATCACTAACCCAACCCCTACAGGAAAAGCCCTTATTCTGTATTCATGTCCACTTGTTATGACTTGCTTCCCTATTTAATCAATTTTGCCTGAACAATTATACTCGTAATCTTATTTGTTGACCATAGTTTTCTCCCATCTCATGCCCATCTTGTGATTTCTCCTTTTTTGCCACTTTGGACCCACCTCATGGGGTGGATTTGCTTTACAAAAATTTCTAGAAAAGGCAGCTCACTTGGGATGCCTTCTGTCTCTCTCTCAGACAAAAGCTTTTTTCCCCCTAATAAATATATTCTGCTCTTTAAAAAAAGACAAAGGTGAAATCATTTATCTGGAAGGAAAAATGTTACTCAAGCATATTACTGCCTTTCTGTGAAGATGAGCTTGCAATAAAAATAAAGGAAGGGTAACCATGAATGGAATTGTCCAAAAATATATAAACACCAACATTATCTCTCTGATCTTTAATTATAGCCCTCTCTCATTACTGTAAAATCATAACACCCTCTGTGTACTTTTAACAGCTTTTTAGGAACATATTAACCAAATGCGCAAGTTTTGATTTGGCTGTAAAGTACTAGGGGAGCTAAGGTTTTCTAGGATTAATGAATAACATGTCTTTATTTGGTTTACTTAAAAAATCATTCTAAAATCTGTTTACATATCTGTTCTCGCCGGGATTAACTTTATATTGGTTCAGCAGATTGTTTACTGTTTTCCTCTTGTCTTTTTTTCTTCTCTCCTCAGTGCCCAACCCAAGTTCAAAGGCTGTTGAGAGAAAAACTCAGGAGGCGATTTTACACTAGGGAAAGTTGTTCAGTGGATGAGATCTGGTGGACGGGGAAAGATGTCCGGCTCTTTCTGGTTCCTGCTCAATCTTGTTGCTGTAACTACTGCTCAGTTCAACCTCGAGGAACAGGCCAAGACATTTTTGGATGAGTTTAATCTGAAAGCTGAAGACCTGTATTATCAAAGTTCACTTGCTTCTTGGAATTATAACACCAATATTACTGATGAAAATGTCCAAAAGATGGTAAGTTGTCACGGATACATAAAGGGTATTTGTTGCTTTTTAAATATTTGAATTACCATCCATAAAAGTGAAAAGGGAAATTAAAGAAATCTCTATGACAGATAACTAAATTTGACTGACCTTGGAGTTTATTTAAAAATTGTTAAAAATAATTCACTGGTCTCAATTTAGATTCTAGAAACAAGTGAATATGGCATTTCATGGAAATGCCATAAATTATTCAGTTCACATTTTCCTCTAGCCTGTAAGAATATCTAAAGATTCTACATGTGACTATTAACTTAAAAATGCAACTGGAGTCTTACTGATAGAATCAGCTAGTAATTAAAGTAATCATGGGTTGGGTGAGACTGGACTTGGAAATTCCTTCTCTTCTTGTCATAGAATTCTGAGGGACTTCCAAAGGTCACAAACTCTCCAAGAAAAACTATAATTAAAACCATTTTTTAAAATCTCAGAATGCTCTGGGAAAGCAAGATGCTTTTTTGACAAATTTAAGGATTTAGGAATTTTTTTCCCTCAGATTCCAAAGCAGTATACCTGTACTTTTAAGTGCTGGAAAATTGAACAATTATTAAGAAAATATTTTTTTTTGTGTCATGTGAGTTCTTATCTTCAAAGAACTTTTCTTCAAAAATCAAGTTTGGATCTGATGTTTTTTCACATGATTAGTGTATTGCATATTTAAATTCAATTACTGGCATTTACTGAACAGATCACATCTCAGAACTACTGCCTCGTCTAAAATCCCCCAAGACACATTTTTTTCTAAATCTCAAGAAATACAGATTTTGATACCCATGTTGTCATAGGAGATGTTTTGTCTTGTCTCACATTTTGGTCTCACCTGTCTTCAGTTCTTCATTGCAGCTTTCCCCCTCATTTTCAATTTGATTTGTATTGGACGTGACTGCAGGGGAGTGTGTGTTTGTTCTCATTTTCAAGTGAATGGAGAATGGCTTGACTGTGACGGCATACTAGCATCATGCCTAAGAGCTCTGAAGCCAAACTACTTATGTGCAAATCCTGGCCTCCCCACTTTTTAGCTAGGTGAATTTGAGCTACTTAATTAGCATCCCTGGGCCTTAGCTTATTCATCAGTGAAAAAGAATATAATATTTGTCTCTACCTTGTAAGGTTGCCATGAAGACTGGATTAATATACAGCATCACCAGAATAGTGCTTGGTGCTTACGGGCATGGAAGAATAGTTAGACATCTTTGTTATTGATGTGAAAGAGAATTGCACTTTTTTTTTGGTCTTTTTCCTTTTTATCGGTACCAGGGATCAAACTCACAACTGTCTGCTTTCAAGGCAGGCGCTTATGCCACTGAGCTAAATCCCCAGCCCCTGAGAATTGCACTTTTTAAAGAGACATAACAGTTCTGTTGAGAGCCAATGCGTCAAGAAGGCATGTTTTAGAATGAGATGTAGTACTGTTTATGAAGCCACCGCTAACCATTAAAGTGCTATTATTTTTTGAATTGAACAGATTGATTAGAGCAAAGACCAGAAATGAAAAAGTACACTCACTAAGCATGTTTAAACTCAAGCAAAGTATTTAACCTTTAAGGGAAAATGAGAACATTTAAATGTAGGAAGCAAGCAAGAGGCCAGATATCTCCTTCTTCCAGTAGTGACGGAGGGTGCATTGATGTACTCAGGTACAGCTGTGTAGGTTTGCCTGGGGAGGAAGACAGTGGGTAGGGAGGGGAGTGGCTCCTTCTCTAGTCTCTGATTACAAGTATTGAGATCTGTTTAGCTGGACATTATTGTGCATTCTTGTAGTCCTAGCACTCAGGAGGCTGAGTCAAGAGGATCATGAGTTTGAGATGTACTGGGCGCTGTGGCAGGTATTATAAATGGTAGTAAGATGAGCAGATTTTTGAGATATGGTATTTTCTTCAGGTAGTGAGTGCACATTTTGTGTGACCATGTGTAAGTGTTCAGTGATACAGGAAGTGTGGACTCTGGGACCAGACACCTGTGTTCTAATCCTAGTTCTGAATATTGCTAGCTGAGTGTCTTAAGCCAGGTTCTTAACTTTTTCAGTTCCATTTCTCATATCTGTAAACTGAAGATTTTGACCATAATACTAGTAATACAGTGTATAGTATATGGGATTGCTGAGGATCGAGAATGCATGATTGTGTGTGACATGTGACATCGTGCCTGGCACTTAGCTTTCTCTGTGTAAACATCGACAATGACAATATTATTATTCAGAGGTTTTGCATTCTGAAACACCCATAGTCTTACTGCTATCTGAAGTTGGTTGTTCTTTTTCAGGATATGAAGATTTTTCAGTAAGTTCATAAAAAAAATCAGAGCTAGAGGAAGCAAGAGCTTCCTATTTCTGACACTCTTCTGAGATTCACAGAACAGATGCTGGGAGAATATGAACTTGGGGGCAGGCAGTGTAGTTCCCAGAGACATCCATAATATTTTTTTCTTTGACTGCTTCTTGGCCTGCAGGCAGCCAAGAACTTAGGGTCAAGAATTAAGAAAGACCAGATTTCGTCTGTGTATATTGACAGCAAACTTTTGTTGCACAAAGGGGAGAATTTGTACCCATAAATTTACATATGATTTACTTTATTCTGTGTTTTACTATAGACCAGCATGTGTTCTTTATAAGATGTGCATTGACTCACTAAATTAAAAACAGTGTGGACTCATTTTAATGAAACTATCTGATGATCTAGTTTATCTTCTTTGGGATAAACCCTTAATGAATTTCTTGGACAGAGAAAATGACTAGCTCTGTGATCCCCAGTATATAATATTTGTTGAGCAGTAACTAACTTTTAACCAAAAGCAAATGAAATATTTTAATTACCACTAATATTTTAGCAACCACCTGGTATTTCTAATATTTTTGTGATAAGTTTATTACCTCAAGGAAGTTTTACAAATTCTGAAAAAGTTCTCCAGCCATGTAAATGTTTGTAATATGTCATAAAGCAGGTTTTGAGTGGATCACTAATACATAGGCCAGTGTTTGCAAAAATGATCCCAACTACAAATCAAAGCATAATCTTACCATTAAAGTTGTGATATATAGTAAAATTTATATATATATATATATATATATATATATATATATATATAATAGACAAAATAGGTGGTATATGTGTTGGCTCTTTCTGGGAGCTGATGAGCCATCATGAATAATTTATGACTCAGGAGAAAACCTAGAAGTTATTCAAGATTGTGCTCTAATGATTTTAACTGAATATCTTTCTGTGAGTATGGTAACCACTATCACCTGGAACGTTCTGGAAAGAAGAGAGAAAAAAAATTATTCCATTCCTTTGAAAACACAGCAATGATGATCAGACTTAGGAAGAATTTTATAAATGCGTACTGTCCCACAAAAAGAGCAATCAGAGTGATTTAAGGAGATAAGAAAGTATTGGGAATCACATAACACCTATCTCAAAGAGAAAGACAATAACCTGGTGAAACAAGTATGGAGTGTTTACTGTTATATTGGCCAAATCTTTATACTAGAAATGCAAGATAGTTGAAAGTTTAATAGAGTTAAGTTTAGAAAAAATAGAACAAAATGCCATTTATATCATAGGTGGCAAAACCAGTAAGACTTGTAAACCTGGGCTAATCTTGTCTTATTTTGTCTGGTTAATGCCACTAAACATGATGACCTGTTATATCCATTTTCCTGAACATGGCATGATTCCATTCTTCTTCTTCTTTTTTTTGGTACTGGGAATTGAACTCAGGACCTCATGCTTGCCAGGCAGATACTGCATCACTGAGCTAAATCCCTGGCCCTCCATTCTTTTTTATTGCTAAGTAATACTCCACTGTATATATAAGCCAGAATTTAAAAATCCATTCATTTGTTGCCTGTACACCTAGGCTGATTCCATGTCTTGGTTATTGGTAATGGATCTGCAATAAACATGGGCATATAGATATCTATTTTGCATACTCACTTCATTTCCTTCAGGTATATCCCCAGGTATAACTGGATTATATGCTAGATCTAGCTTTAGTTTATTTTTTTAAAGGAATGTTCTTACTGTCTTTCATAGTGGCTGTACTAACTTACATTTTCACCAACAGTGTATAAGGTTTATTTTTTCTCTACATCTTCATCAGCATTTATTATTATTATTTTTATATAATAGCCATTCTGAGTAGAGTGAGATGGAATCTCAACAAAGTTTGATTTGCATTTCCCTGGTGACTGCAGATGTTGAGTATTTTTTCATATATTATTGACTATTTATATCTCTTGAGAAGTGTTTGTTCAGATAATTTGCCTATTTATTTATCAGATTACTTATTCTTCGGTTAAACATTTTGAGTTTCTTATATATGCTGGATACTAATCCTCTGGCAATGAATAACTGGCAAAGATTTTTTTCCTATTATGAGCTGTCTGTTCAATCTCTTGCTTCATTTTTTTGTGGTGCAGGAGCTCTTTACTGATGCATTTCCATTTGTCTATTCTTGCTTTTACTTCCTGAGTTATTGGAGTCTCATTTGTGAAATTGTCTGTGCCAATATCTTGAAGCATTTTCCATTTTCCTTTAGTAGTTTCAAAGTTCACAGAATTATATTTAAGTCTTTGATCCGTTTTAAGTTGATTTTTTTATAGAATGAGAGATCAGGACCTAGTTTCAGTCTGCCACATAAAGATATCCAGCGGTCTGAACATCATTGGTTAAATAGGTTGTTTTTTCTTTTTTTGTGTGTGGTACCGGGGATCGAACTCATGACCTCACACTTGCCAGGCAGGCACTTATGCCACTGAGCTAAATGCCCAGCCCCTAGGTTGTCTTTTCTTCAAAGTATGTATTTGGTACCTTTGTCAAGAATTAGATGGCTGTAGTACTTGCACAGGTTTATTTCTGGGCCTGTAGTCTACCAATGGACTCAGTTCTTTCCTGTAAGAATGTTTAAGGTCATGTCACTTTAATGCCATCCCAATATAGGTTATGTCACTGTGTCCTTTGTCATGTATCTTGCAT